TGTTCTACAAGTTTGAACTAATAATTTCAAAATATGTCCTTTGTTCATGCATGATATTCTGAGACATGATACATCATTTTTGTTACTAGTACACTTAAGGATTCAGACATTGTATGAGGTGTATGTTTGCTGTGTTTTTGGAACACAGCAATTTGCTTTACAGTTAGGAAGATAATACACTAATATACTGCAAATGCAGCTGCTTGATCTTATTTCAACTGGGAAATGAAAATGTAATGAAACAGAATTCCATTTTGATAGCATTGATTACTCTGTAGGCAGTTTAACTTTTCAAAACCAGTTTTATAACATTCTCATCTGGTTCTACGTCAAAGAGACAGATTTAACACATATTATGTTTTGTTAGTAATCTCTCAAGTGGCTTGAATACACTAACCACTGTTTCAGCAATAAGTAAGTAATACTGCGCACTGTTAAGTCCTGAGTGCAACATAAAGTGAAAGCCCATTTATTTTAGAATAAAAAAATATATTTACCTCCTGTAACGATATATTGGACTAGCTGAATTCTAGGTGTACTTTTATATAATGTGATGCTGAAGCAGCACAAATACTGGACATCTGAAACATATGTATTTCTTTGTCGAAGCTCCAGATTATTTTTCTTTAGGTCATTCTTCATGAAAACCTATATAACCCTAAATACACTGCAAGTTTTAAAAAGGAGTTATCAAAACACGGGCTGTCATTTGCAGTGATATATAAAGAGTAATAATGTGGCAGGTCTTTTTTTGATTTCTGACGCATTTTCTGTTAGGAGCAACAACGTTGATGGGTGTAAAATAGCAGCATACAGTACTTATAATGCCACTTACTTTTAGGTACCTAAGCAACCATTAGCTCTTAAATAAAGATAAAACTATTAAGTATTAAGTTATTTGAGATTATCCTTTGGATTCCTGAACCATAAGTATGGTTGCAGGACAAGGACATCTCTAACATTCTGTGTTTGGTTTGTGTGGGAAGGTTCTGGTAGTGTGTCCAACAGTGAGCCAATGCCAACCGGCTCAAAGATGGACCCGTTGCTGGCCATGGCCCAGCCAGTCAGAGGTGGTAGCAACACCTCTGTGATAACATATATAAGGAAAAAGAAGTTACTGCAGAGAAATATTTGTGGCCAGAGAAGAGAGGAATGAGAATATGTGAGAGAAACAGCTCTGCAGCACTGAGATCAGTGCAGAAGGAGGGGCAGGAGATTCTTCTGAAGCCTATGGTGAAAACCATGGTGAAGCAGGTGGTCCCCATTCAGCCCATGGAGGTCCATGTGGTAACAGAGATCCATCTCCACCCTGTGGCAAGCCTGTGCTGGAGCAGGCTCCTGGCAGGACCTGTGGAGAGAGGAGCCCATGCTAGAGCAGGTTTACTGGTAGTACTTTTGACTTTGTGGGAGACCCACCCTGGAACAGCCTGTTCCTGAAGGACTGTACTCCGAGGGAGGGACCCACACTGGAGCTGTTTGTGAAGAACTGCAGCCCATGGGAAGGACTCATGTTGGAGAAATTTGTGAAGGGCTGTCTCCCATGAGAGGGACCCCACGCTGGAGCAGAGTTAGGACTCTTCTCTCTGGGGAGGAAGAAGCAGCAGAAATAACATGTAATGAACTGGCCATAACCCTCATTCCCTGTCTCCCTGCACTGCTATAGGGAATGAAGTAGAGAACTGGGAATAAAGTCCACTGTGGTAGACTTCTCACTTTGCAACCCATCACTGTTAAAAACCCAGTCTCCTGGGCCATGATAATAAACACTGGTTGTATTGTATCTTTTATTTTTTCCTAATGAGTTGAGTGGAGCATTTTGAAATTTACTTCTACAACAGAATTCTTACCTATGCTTTTCAATAACAGTTCAAAATGCAGCCCTTGTAAAATGCAATGCAGTGTATTCTAAGGCCTTAGAATGGAATAAAATTTAGAAAATGACTGAAAACTAAACTTGTGCAGAAAAAGAAATATACAATTCCAGAAGGGCTTTGAGATTTTGAAATCAAACTTTTGACTAAATCAGGAAAAATGATTGCTTATGATTTTTCCCCAAAGTGATATATTTTGGGTAATTTTTAATATGGCTTTCATAAATTTTGTATTAAATTAATGCCTTTTAATTGTATGCCTTTTAAATATTTCAAAATTAAGAACAAATATTTCCAAACCAAAAATAAACACTATTCCAAAAGTGTATCAAAAATTGAATGTTTTGATAATATCAGAACTTATTTAAATTCTGAAAAAAATTCAACAGAAGCAGTAAGAAAATATATAGCAAAGAATAAAAGCTAGACATTGTAAAAGGATTATGTAAAATGTAAGTGTTTATGCTATTTGATTTTGAACCTTTTAGTCTATGATTTTATGAGGGCAACATGAACAACTCAGTAACAGGCTCTTTTTTTTCACCCTTCAAAAGATACAGTGGTAAAATATCAGTGGTACACAGAGAGGGCACAAATGTTATTCCAGTTATAAATAAGTGGTTAAATACCAGCATGCATTCTTATTTCAAATATGAAACTACCATTTATTTTGTCATAAATAATATTAGCTTCAACTCTGATGCTATCTTGAACATCTTCCTTCGAATCATGAGGTCATGACATTTCTGGAAGCACTTATATTCAACAAGAAAACATTTATCTTTTTAGCCTCTGCTAGTCTTCCCATTCTGAACCATGAGAAGCATTCTGGAATAAATATTTTTGTGCAATGGTATTTAAAGTGGATTACGCCTTGGTTTTACTGTCGTGAACAGTGTTTGCTCATGACTATCATATATCATTTTGAGCATTGAATCATAGCCGTGTGTAAATTATCAGTGGATCACATAACCTTCAGAAGTCATCTTTAAAAGGTCATCTATAATTTCTACAAGTATTTTTAAAAGTCTATAATTTATTATAATTTCTCCCTCTTTCAAATGAATTAAAGAGTAATATGGTAATTTAATGCAGTTCTTAGAGTAATTTATGTGGTTATCCCAATTTCGTAAAGTAACTGGATAGAGTCAACAGCAGTATGGTTTATTTTTTAATGTAATTATTCTGCAGAAAAATATATAAGCTTAACTTATATGCAAACTAAGGAGTAAAACTGAAAAAAATTGATAAATTGACCTCTTAATGTCCTTATGTGTTTCTGTTGCTGAACAGATACACAACAGCCTGTTGAACTCACCAGAGGTCTGATAAAACCTTTTCTCACTGGGTTTCGTAAAATAAGCACTCATATATAAAGTAAATATTAATATGTTTTTAATAGCTTTTTAAAAAGATATCTTTACCTGTGACACAGTGCAAGAGAATAGAGTGTCCTACTAAACTATATTATTAACATGCATCACTAGCTAAATGATTGCATTTTAAATAAATAATTCAAATGTACCTAGGGGGCACCCCTATCGAGGACATCATCACTGACCTTTGGAAGGTATTTAAGAAAAATGGATGAATTCTGTAAGACAGATATTTATGAATATATATTGTGATACATTTACCTGATAGACTATTAATTAGACTTCATTATACCTTTTTATTAGTAAGCATTCTGGAATGTTTGTGAGGTGTAGCATTTATCCCGTGGCTGACATTTGATTATCTGAAATCTACCCCGTCTGTCTTTAAAAAAATTTTGTATTTTTTCAAAACAAAGCCAACAACCTGTTTATCACATTTTTAAAAAAGTACAATTGTAGAGAGAGGGGAGGAAAAATACCACTTTACACTTACAACAGAATAAACATGTCTAATTTCAACAAAATGGGGCATCACAAGTATTTTTATAGTTCCTTTTCATTTTCTTTTTACTCTCATAAATTAAAGATAGCCAGAAATTTTTTACAGTACAAACATAAGGTCATGTAAAAGTAAGAGGAATTGTTGTTTTCATTTCTTAGCTGATTCTGCAAACTAAGGGCTGTTATGGCAATTCCTTGTCCAAAATTAGCTATTACAGTTTTTTAATTTTATTACATATTTTGATAATGTACATTTGCATATTAGCCTGAAAACTTCTATATTAGAGAAGTGGGTTTACAAACCTATAAACAAGATTGTTAAACTGAAATGACATACATGGTTTTCTTTGTCCATAAGGCCTTCCCCGTAATTTTTACCCATATAGATTGCTTCCAGGTGTACATTACAATTCAAATTAGGGATCAGTGAGAAAATTTCAGATAATTATTCCCTGAAACCTTATATCTTGCCTTACAACTGGTTGTGCCATATGCAGTTCATTGCTTTTCAACACCATTTTCAGAAAGGATTTAGTAGACAAAATACTAAAGAGTAAGGATAAGACCAGTAAATTTAAAAGCATAATAAATTTAAAAGAGTTTTGATATCTGCAACCTTTTTTATTGGAGTTAGATCAATTCTATATGTCTGTCTAATTCAGAGTTATTTTAGAGTTTTTGATCTTTGAGATAGTTGGGAATATTGTTTCATAAAATATGACATAAATTGTGATATCTCAGTTCATCTTTTTTGGTATCTTGATTTTTTTGTTTTGTTTTGTTATTCCTCTGTTTAATTTTGAAGTAGAGCTGAATGAAAAATACGTTTTTCTGCTGTGTTGCTTTGTTTGTCTTTATGGAATAGTCTAACGTGTTATCTTTTTTTTTTTCCATTGACAAGAAACTGCAATTTAAACTGAACAAACCCCAGAAAGCTCTGTCTGAATTGACATTTCAAGATCTCAGTGTTTAAGTACATTCTAAATTTTAGTGTTGAATTCCACACAACTCTGAAATAGGTGTTTTTCATAATTACTTTACATTATATCCTGATATGAAATAGTGAAATAGTCACTCTGCAAATTATTTTAACAGTATTTTATAATGTAAATTATCTATCAGGCTTACGGAAAGCCTAATATTTTGTCAAAGCCTCATGAAGTCGATATGTTTTGGATATTCCATATATGCTGATGTTTACTTTAATTCTTACAAAATATCTTAGATGAAACAATAACTTACTTGATTTCAGGAGCTGATGCTGTGGAGGCTCAGTGTAAGAGATTTGAAGTGAGAGCAAGTGAAGGTGGAAAAGTATTGTTTTCTGCAGATGAAGATGAGATTGTCATTGGAGCTGACAGACTGAAAGTAACAGGTATGGTAATGATAAAGTGTCTAAATAGATGTAAACAGTATATATTTTTTTAATATTTTTAGTAATAATTAAACAACTAATCTTGTACAAAATTTTAATCCCTTGTAGAGGAAAAATTCTTCTCATCATCAGTAATTGATTGACCAACCAAAAGATGCTGCATAATCTAAAAATCAATTCCTCTAAAGGCAGATATGAATTTAAAGTCTGCAGGATCAACTGTGATACAGATCACACTTACCATTGTAATTTGGCTTCTATATGTTATCATTAAGCATTGTTTTGTAGTACCTATGCCATTTGTTCAGTTAATGCTCCTTCACAATAGTAAGACCTATTGTCATATACTATGACCTTTGTTTTATCTATATATACAAAGTATCAAGTCTAACTTCCATCTGAATTAACAGTATGTACTCTGCTTTACTTCGTGAGGCTGAGCTGAACCGTTGTAAATAGAAATCTTGTCTTGACTTGAGTATTTGTTCAAGAAAGTAAGAAAAATAGTTGTCATTACTAGATAGATATATATATAAGTAACTCATTTGATATTACTGTTATGGATTCACCCCAGCTGGCAACTAAGCCTCACACAGCCACTCACTCCCTCGCCAGTGGGGATGGGGGAGAGAATTTTAAGAGTGAAATTAAAAATACTTATGGTTTGAGATAAAAACAGTTCAACAACTGGAAAAGCAAAAGTCACGCATGCAAACAAAGTGAAAAAAGAATCCATTCACTTCTTTCCATGGGCAGTCAGCTGTTCAGCCATCCCTAGGAAAGCAGAATCCGTCATGTGTACTGTGAAAAAAGAGAATCATACTGAATTCTGCTAAGGTTCAAACTCAGTCATAATATTAAATGCTGACATAAGAGATTTCAAAGTATATATCAAAAGTTGAAAAATAAAACATCTTACAAATGACACTAAGAATTAGATTTCCTGCCACTGAGAAATGTGATCATAAGTTTTAGATGTCATGTTAATTATTTCTTAATCAAACTTTTTGCACCATAAGTACTATTTTTGTCCGAAGATTCTGTGATACCTTTAAATTTTCCAGCAAACATGAAAAATTGTGAGTCCCTGTGAGCTCCATCAATCAGACTGCATTACTTCACATGACATGATATGACTGATGGAACCTGGCAAGACATCATAATGTCAAACATCAACCAGAATTTTTTTCTTTAGTTTATTTTTCTCAGGCATGTGTTTTGATTATCATGATGCCTTTGGGGTGAATGTAGGAAAGGAATCATTGAAGAACAAATAAAACAAAAATTGAACATCAAAAAGCAAATATAAGCTGTGCTTATTTGGAAATTAAACTCTCACATGTAGTTATTTAAGTGTGGTACTACAATGAAATTATTTTATTTTCTCATGTAGTGGTCAATAATGTCTCTGGAAACATTTAACTGTAAATAGGTCCAATAAATGATTCATTTTGATAATAATTTTCTAAAGTATGCCCATTTCATGGGCATTTATAGATTACTATGGCAATGTGGGATTTTTTCGTATATGATTTTTTCTCATTTTAGAAGAACAAACATCTTTTTAAAAAAATTATCATAAGGCAGTCTAAGAAATTCTCTATTAATAAAAACTTGTTAGATTAAGTGGACAGCTTCTCATTGATTATTTTTGTAATATTTTTATTTGTAAATTTTTATATAGGCAGCCTATTTCAGGGAGAAAGGTATAGTAGAAACACTGTAGTAATCCAGATATCAATTTATTTCCCAGATAAGAAATATATGGGATCAGTAGTACTTTTTGTTTTAGAGGTATTGCAACCATATATTTCCCTATTAAGAGTCTGTCACTTTAAAATTAGGCAGTTGGCTGATTTAATTTAAAATACTTATTATTCCTTCCATTGTTACTTTAGCTTTTTTGTTTAACTGTGTTAACTCTTTTCTACTTTATTATTCAAGGAAGGAATAAAAAAGATTTAACTTTTTGCTTTATTAGACAGATCTGTTAGAACTGCAGTTGACTATGGCCCTTTTGAGCAGAGATGCTTCCTGCCACCAAGCTTAATGTGTATCACAGAGCTTTGTAGGGAACGAAGAGAAAGCCTTGATGAATTGAACGTATTGTTGAAGAACTGGAAATAAGCAGGAATAAGGAGCTGATTTTCTGGTGGGCTCACAGGTTCCTTTCTGCACATGGTTAAACCTTTCTCCATCTCTTATATTTGCCCTGTCCTAGTGAATGGACAGCATCTATAGTATCACAGGGTCTCCTTCACTCTTTCTGCAGTTACAGAGCAAGAGTATCTGCTTGACTTTTACTTCCATTATCTAAATCTTAATTCAAAGTTTCCTGCCCCTTGCTTTTATTTTGTATTTCTTTTAATTGCAAGATGATCTCCATAAGATACTCTTTCTTGTAGCAGAGTTGTGTTGGTCACCCTTGTCAATGAGAGTGCAAGCATATATTGTGAGGCAGCTTTACTCTGCCAGAGTACTTTTGAGAGAACAGATTAAGAAGGCCTAGGTCAGTATGCATTTTTTTGAGACAGTGCTATGAAAAAAAGTTATAATTCTTACTATAAAAACTTTCCCTGTATGTCTCTGATAGTACAGTTTGTCATCCTCTTTTTTCTTAAACCAAACTTGTATCTACCAGCTGTTTAAAAAGTACAAAGGAATGTGGACCTTGTCTGGATATAGTCTAACTACTCCTGCTTTTTTTGACAACTCAACCAAGGTTTTTTCTCTGACTTTTGAGGTGGTTTTCTCAGTTAAGGCTAAATACCCATTATCAGAAACTCTTTTTTCCCATTAAATTTATACTGTTTTATCCAAATTATACAAATATTTTGCTTTTTTTGATAAGAGTATTTCTCTCTCTATGACTTTTGAAGGAGAAGAGATAGCAATTTAATTCTCTTCTTGTCTCCTACAGGTTCTTCTGATCTGTACACTTCCATCACTTTTCTGTAGTGTTCTTTAACCATAATTTTATTTCTGATCCTTTTTCTGAGACCCATAAAAACTATACTGTAACTTGTTTTGTTACAGGTTTTACATGACTGCTAAATCAGTTGTACTTTTAGATGTGGCTTTTCATGTTTATTAATCATGTTTAAAAAAAGGCAAATTAAATAAGTCTTCCATCAGAAGCTATTGGTGTTCTGCAATCAAATTCAATTACGTTTTCTAGATGTAGCACATAAGCTGTGTCACTTTTTCTAAATAACCCAGTCTAAATTGTTTGGAAAATATTACTCACCTTTATGGAGAACTAATTTATTTTGTTCTCTATTACTTTCCTAAATGCCGGCTTATTTTCTTTCATCCCTTAATGCTCCATGTCTGGGCACAGGACCTAAAGTCCTTTCTGGATAGAACTGAATTTTTTTATAATGATAATTAATATGTCAGCAATAATATTTTTCCTCTAAAAATAAATAAGAAGCTAATTAGAAAATTGTCAGTAATTGTACCAAGATTTTAGTAATAGTTCTATAGAGTTCAACTCCTTCCATAATTTTTGGAAACACAAAACTTTTCAGATACATGGGGTTCCATGTTTGTATTATATGACCTCATACAATTAGATGAAGATCACTTTGTTTCCATATTTCAAACATAAAAATAGATCTCATTATGGGAAGTGCAATTGTACTAAGGTTTACACATTGTTGCTAGCAGCAGTAGGAGAAGCAAAAAAGAAGAGGCATAGAAAACTTGCAGATCATTACGACTTCCTAAGAGCCTTCTTCCTTGTCAAATAGCACAGCTAAGTAGAAAAATGGAAGTCAGAAGAGGACAACATACTTCAGTTGTAATGGAAACTTTCTCAGATTAATAGCAGGATGTGTATAGGTCAAATCTAATTTGACACCAGAACAGTGTCGGGGAAAAATCTGTGAAGGGCTGGAAGTATATTTTTCATTATGCCAAAGTATATGCTTACAGTGGGTTCAACATGGCTTTTGATCAGTCATTGACTTTACTAGATGAAGGATGAGAGCCTTGATGTATCAAGGAAACTTCAGAAGATACCTACATATTTATATTCTGATAATTTTCTAATAATAGTCAGAATTAACATGCAGAGGAGTGCATCAGTACTTCAGTTTTGATTTTAAGATTATGATGCAGAACTGTGAGTCTGTAGGTAATTGAAATATAGAAAGGTCTTCCAGAGTAGTTAAAAGGAAATGATAAAATAGAAATATGGCTTATGGCTATAAAAAGGAAATATGACAGAAATATGAGGAAATATATGTGAATTGCAAATTAGGTTGGAAAAGTAGAAATAAAATATTTATAACAAGTACTGAAATGTAGAAAAATAAATTATTATTTTATGTATGTTGTTATTACAGTAGGCATATATCTAGTGCATTCAGAGACTGAATAGTAATTTCGGTATGAATGGGAAAGATCTTGGATTTGCCACGTTCAGTTGGTGGATTGTCATTCAGGACAGATGGAGTTTGGAGAGTGAAGTGGCACAAGATGAAGGGAAACAATCACTTTAAGCTGGCTTATGCAGCCAAATTATCTGACCACAGTAAACTACTGTATTTGATGTTGTTCTAAAAAGTTAATCCTTTAAGTAGATAGGCCAGATTCTTAGTATCCTGGACACTGCATGAGCCAGAATTCTTTTATCATCGTCTCTCAGTAACAAAAATGCATCATATACATAGGATTTCTGTGTTTCCTCAGTAATGTCTACATTAATATGTACTCCAAAATGTACTGGATGAATAAGGTTTCTGACAAGCTTATTTAGATCTCAAGAAAGCACTCAATGTCCAGACTTGTCTGTATGAGAGCTCTGATTGAAAGATAATATTATTATGGTAATCTAATCACTTGGCAATAGAACAACCTGTCAGGGCATTACTCTGAAGGTACGACTACAGAGCTGATTACAATCATATGCATGTGGGCTCCAATCTGTCTATGAACTGAAAGATGTATAGGCAGGCTACAAGTGGTGAGACTAAGTAAATAAATTTCTTATCCAG